AATAAGCTAAACTTATTCTCTTGAAAATGAAATTTTCTCTATTTTCAATTTGTTTTTGTTTTACTCCATATTTGTAATGTATTGCATAATATTGTCCCCATGTTTTTGGCATATTCAAAATTTGTAAATAAAAACATGTTTGACCAATTTTAAGAAAAGTTACTATTTGTCAAAATTCATATAGGGTGTAAAATAGGGGATGAACAAGGAAATCACTCTAAATTGGACAATGTCCCTGTTTGATAGTGATTAAAATCATATTTTTAATAGATTTTGATAGAAATTGACGAAAAAACTAATTAATTTCATTATTATTTTTCCCTTTCTTGGATCATTAATAATAGATTTTCTCAATGTATAATAAAATTTTAAAAAGGGGTATTTACAAAACTACCCAATACTTTTTTAACCCTTATATTTTTACGTATCCTGGCCCTTCAAAAATAAAAATTCTAGATTCGAAATGTTTTTTAGCAAATCTATTGAAAAATTAAATCATCCAAAAATCATGTGTTACCAAATTTGCATTGAAGTTTCATCTTGATCACAGGTGAAATTAATAGGGTTTGGCTCGAGAGATGTTTTTCATGTACTGACGATGACCTGTGTTTTACTTTTTACATACAATTCGAAGTTACATAGAAGCTAATTACAAATTAAAGTTTCCACTAGATACCCCATTGAAACCCAAGCTATGAGTTGTACTACCACGATGGTGTGGGATCAGGGCTCCGCCTCTACCGTCTACCATTATGAATATTAAGATAATTTTTATTTATAAGGATTTTCAGAAATTACATAAGCAACAACGCCCACAACAATATAATTCAAAACAAAACAGCACATTACAAACACCACCACCATGAATACAGAATACATACCACAATCTAATTTCATCTTTCGTTGCCAGCATTCACCAAACCCATGCCTTACAATCTTAACATTACAATATTACGAGATGTAAAAATATTCGAAAAATACAAACAAAAAGAGAACATAATATTGATCATAGTAACTAGCATAGGGAGCAATTAATGAACCGAAGAAAGGCAAAGTAGTACCAATCAAATAGTGCACTCGAGATAAATAACCATGGCAAGCACGAAGACGCACAGCTAGATGAATTCA